TCACTTTTGCTGATTAAATTTTAACTTCTAACCTATATTATTAGATTAACCAAGCAAGGCTCCTTGAAAGATAAAACTGACTGTTCACCATCCAATGGTTACTATTTTCTGCCCATTTATGATAAAGGCGAATATTCATTGAAGGTGTCACCTCCTCCGGGATGGAGCTTCGAACCGGAACAAGTAGAACTTAATTTCGATGGCGAAACGGACTTGTGTAGTCAAGGAAAAGATGTAAATTTCGCATTTAAGGGTTTTGGTATTACTGGTAAAGTAAAACTTGCAGGCCATGGTGGCAATGGTGTTCGTGGCGTAAATGTTGTGCTGAATTCGGAAGATGGTAGCGAAGAACGTCGTACCACTACCGATATTAGTGGCATATTTTCCTTTACTCCCATAATACCGGGAAAATACAAATTGCGTGCAACACATCCGGAATGGCATTTTTCGAAATCTGAACATAACGTCTTGGTGGAAAGTGGTAACACGGAACTCCCAGAAAATTCTTTGGTCGTTGGAGGTTTTAATGTACAGGGGCATTTAGACACAAATAATGAGATAATATCAGGAATTGGTGTAGCAATATTTAACAAAAAAGGGGTATGTTTTTTATTACTATGCCACCATTTCCATCAGATTTAATAATTGAAATTTTTCTTTGCGAATTCAAAGCAAAATCTTCCACTGTTATGCTCAAACGCTATTCCTATAACGTTGTCCGTTAAGTACGATGATTATGAACCAGTTTCAGCTTGTCACACCCTAGTCGATAAAAAGGGAGATTACGTTTTTAAAGGTGTTCCACCCGGAAAATATTTGGTTCAGCCACATGTTGAAAATCGCGGAAATAAGTTACATATTGCACCCAAATATCTGGAATTGGATGTCAAAAAAGATACACTTATATTAAAGGATGCTTTTAGAGTAAGTATACAACGTAAATATTATTAATCTGGGCAATCGCTGAATCCGTCATAGTACAATTTTCGTAAAATCTACGAAAAAGCTGTCACTGAATCCGAATTGCTACGAATGTATGCATTCAAAGTATATTCTACGTTCGTAGCTATTTGGACTCAGTGATAGCATTTTCGTAGATTTCACGAAAAATCGGACTACGATGGATTCAATAATAGCCCTGAATGAATTTTAAAAATGTTTGGTAGATTACTGGATTTAGTATAGCTGGCAAGGTACTTTCGTCATCTGATGGCGTTCCGATTGAAGGAGCTAAAATCAAATTGAATGGGGAACATGTAGCTGAAACAAATGCTGATGGCTCGTACACCCTGGAAAATATGAGATCTGGAAGTTATAAACTTCTCGTAGAATATCCAAAATATGAATTTAATGAAAAAGAAGTCAATTTAGAAATAACTTCATTAAATATTGATGATATAGTACCCAACGCTTACGAAGTTTGTGGAAAAGTTGTGTCACAGAAATCGTTCGTGATAGGAATTACAAAACACGCATCCACTTTTCATACCACCGTATCAAGTAAGCCTGAAACTGGCGACTGGTGCACATTTTTGCCGAGTGGAAAATTCAATATTGAAGTACTGACAACCGACGAAGATAAAGCCAGCGGTATACAATTTTTCCCGGTGCAACAACAAATAGAAATTAAATCGCAACCCTTAAGAGGTATCATATTCTCACAATTACGCGCAACATTGTCCGGAGAAGTTAAATGTCTTCACGATGCGCCTGAGGTGTGCAATGAAGTTTTGGTAACATTACGTTCATTAGACGCTGTAGGACAGCCAACAGGACAGCAGCAGGAAGTTAAAGCGAATGGTAAGCATAAATTTTGAGTTGTCCGCTGTCATTCCAAAATAGCCGGTTCTACATACCGAAATGTTCCGATTGGTTTTGCCCGTCCAAAGGCTTTCGTTTCAGCTTTCTAACTCTGCATAGACCGGCGAGCCCAACTTCAAGTTTTTTGTCCCTACTGCCGCACTTTGGAATACTGAAGGGTACCTAGCATACCCAATAAGAAGTCTCGTAAAGACCCAGGTTCCCACAACAGTAGGGTCTACGTAACCGGAAATACCCAGATTTATATCTGGCCAAGGACTGTTACTACAGCAACACTCCCCAAAAATCTTTGGGGAATTTATACATATCGTCGTTTAAAGTACAAGCCGCGTATCATCATTCTGTAAAACCGCATAACTGATATTTGCTGCCAAAAATTTGATTTGCCCTTTTCCATTCGTCCTGAAATATATTAGCCAGAAATGCGGTTGCTTTATAAAAAAAGGACAATTTTGGAATTGTGTTTCTACTCTCTAGAAAATAATTTATGCAACCTCACATACGTGGTTTTGCATTATCTTTATACACGGTTTTGCATATTGTTGATACGCGGTTTTGTACTTTAAACGACGATATGCTGTTACAACAATAACAACAACAACAGCGACTCTACAGACCAAGACCTGCTGCCCGGCAGGATATCACCCTGATATAGGTGCGCTCCTCAGAGGTGAAAACCGTATGGTAGTAGGTGACTTTAATGCGCACCACGATCTTTGGCACTCAAGCCTGTCAAACGATCGTAGGGGAACAGACTTGGCTGAGCAGATAGACGATTCGACATTCTGCACAATGAACGACGACGCACCCACCAGGATTATGGGTAACTGCAGTAGCTCGCCAGACATCACAATAGTCAGCGCTGGTCTGATAAACAGCATAACGTGGCGACCTATGCTGACTCTAGCATCAGACCATCTACCCATAGTCATCTCGATTGATAAACCAACCGACTTTGCCTCCGCCAAACACCGGACCTATGTCAACTTTTCTAAAGCTGACTGGAAAGGTTACGCGGAGTTTACTGAAAACACCTTCACATCGCTCCCCACACCAACCGACGTCCATCTCGGTGAACGTAAGTTCCGCAGGGCTATCACTGCTGCTGCAGCTCGCTTCATACCGGCAGGGTGCATATCGGACCCACGTCCAAACTTCCCTGCCGAAGCGGCTGTTTTAGCCAATGAGCGTGATAGCCTTCGTCAGGCCGATCCCGGAGATCCCCGTATCAGGGATCTCAACGCGGAGATTCGGCAACTTGTAAACGTACATAAGCGGAAGAAGTGGGAGGAGCATCTGAAGACTTGCAACTTCACCTCTGGTGTGAGCAAGCTTTGGTCAACCGTGAGGTCATTGTCTAATCCGACGAAGCACGACGACAGAGTCGAAATTTCCTTCGGCGACCATGCTTCGTCGGACCCGGAGCGATGCGCGAGCTATTTTAGCCGGCTGTTCATACTGCATCCTCCGGTGGACAAAGCCAAGCGTCGAGTGACCAGAAGGCTGCACAAACTGCCAACAACTTGTGCCCCCCTTGCTTTCACTTGCGGTGAAGTTCAGGTGGCCATCGGGAAGGCGAAAGCCTCCAAAGCCATGGGTCCCGACGGAATATGCATGCTGATGCTGAAAAATTTGGGTCCTGCGGGGGTAGCGTACCTAACGGAGGTCCTCAATTTGTCAATGGCCACTCTCATCATCCCAGACATCTGGAAGGCGGGGAGAGTGGTCCCACTGCTCAAACCGGGGAAACCTGCAAACAAAGGAGATTCGTATCGTCCGATTACACTCCTTTCCCCGGTAGCGAAGACACTCGAGGCCTTGCTACTCCCGTACTTCACAAATCACCTGACCCCAGCGAAGCATCAGCATGGTTTCCGAAAAGTGCACAGTACAACAACAGCACTTAACGCCATAAACACTCAGATAACTCGTGGCCTTAACCGTAACCGTCCCTGTGAGAGAACGATTCTAGTAGCGTTGGACTTGTCAAAGGCGTTTGACACCGTCTGCCATTCCACGCTACTAGAAGATATAGAGGCCTCCTCTCTCCCACAGAGGCTCAAACGGTGGTCGGCAAATTATCTAAGTGGTCGACATTCGTCGGTAATGTTCAGAGACAAAACGAGTAAGCAGCGAAAAATAAAACAGGGGGTTCCTCAGGGTGGTGTCCTTTCCCCGCTACTGTTTAACTTTTATATTTCAAAGCTCCCTCAACCACCAGAGGGAGTCTCGATTGTCTCCTATGCCGACGATTGCTCGATTATGGCGACTGGGAATGGAATTGATGACCTGTGTTCGAAAGTAAACGGCTATCTCTCCGAACTTTCTCGCTTCTTCACTGCAAAGTGTCTAGCCCTCTCCCCTACGAAATCCTCCGCGACCCTGTTCACAACCTGGACGAAGGAGGTCAGGCTACCGCTGGGGATTCACGTCGATGACACACCAATTCCGACGGTGAATAACCCCAAAATACTCGGAGTAACATTCGACAGCCTGCTCTCCTTCTCTGCGCACTCAACCGCTATTGTCAATAAAGTACAGAGCCGCAACAAGGTCCTCAAGTCGCTAGCCGGCAGTACTTGGGGCAAAGACAAAGAAACGTTGCTGGCAACATACAAGGCAATAGGCCGGCCGGTCTTGAACTACGCAGCGCCAGTGTGGTCGCCAGGGACTAGTAGGACGCAGTGGACGAAGCTACAGACGGGACAAAATACGGCACTTAGGACAGCGACGGGATGCCTCCTGATGTCGCCAGAACATCACTTGCACGGCGAGGCGCAAATGCTCCCAGTTAGGGAGCACAACATAATGCTCTGCAAGCAGTTCCTGATCGGGAGCCACAGAAGTGGCCACCCAAACAGACAGCTGCTTGCAGAGGAGCCCTCGCCTAGGCACGTCAGGAGGCATCTATATGAACTGACGGACGAAGTCCAGAGGTTCATTAAGCAACCTCTGGACCCGACAGCGTACAGACAGGCCCTGAACGGCATTCACAGGGACTCAGTCTCGAGTTATGTAGACTCGACCTGTGAATGCCGTTCTAGGCATACCACCCCCGGACATTGACGAGACAGAGCTTCATCTGCCTCGGGAGACACGCACTACACTTGCCCAACTTCGCTCCGGCTACTGCAGCAGGTTAAACTCCTACTTGAGTAGGCTGAATGAGGATGTGCCGAACGAATGTCCGGCATGCGGAGAGACCCCACATGACTCGAACCATCTCTTCGCATGCCCGGAAAACCCGACTACCCTAACGGCCCTGTCCCTGTGGACAGATCCCACAGAAGCTGCACGCTTCCTAGGGTTGCCGTTAGTGGAACTTGACGACAACGACTGAGATACCAACCGATCTGGGCGGGGTTGTTGTAGCCGCTACAACAACAACAACAACAACCAAGTTAAGCATTGTCAAGGTATCGCCGTCGACGGTACATGTATGGTTAATATCGAAAAAATCAGCTGGCCACTTTCGATAGCTTGGTCTCCTCCAATACACATAACGGTAGGTATAGACAAAGGCAATAACTGCGAAAATTTCTCGAATCGCTTGTCGGCTGCAAGACCAAATGGTGGCAACAATGCCTTCTGATGTGCCCTGAAATTTATTTACACGATAAGCAAATAAGCTTTCGTCAAGCAGATGTACGTCAAAAAAACCGTCTAGGCCGACAGTGTGCAGACAGGCCCTAAACGTTTTTCAACAGTAGACGGTTGCTATCTTCGTGGACTTTCGGTTTGGAATCGCCATATTTAAAATCCAACCCCCTCCGCATTACAAAGGCAGGTTAAACTAATAATAAAGAGAATCGACGCCCAATACTAACAATGTCCACCCTTGAATTTCTGATAATCGCCAAGCAAAATTTTTGTCGTCGAAATTCTATAAATAAAAAGCAGATTGGCCTAAAAGTACGCAAGTAAGAGTACAATGTGTAATTAGCCAAATCTGGCAGTATGAGGAGTATGTACATAATAGATGTTGCATGTTGTTAGGCGTGCCTGCTATTCTTTTGGAGATTTTTGGCGGTCAAAATTAGCCATAACGAATGTTGGCAACAGGCTGCAGCTAGTTAGGAAACCGTGCAGGACACTAGTCAACTCTCTTCTTGACCCGCTCAGATATCCTTGGGTCCGGCCGGGTCAAATTTGTTGAATACCGTTAGTTGAGCTAGACGACAACGATTGATGCCTTAACCTATCTATGCAGAGTTAGGAAAGCCGTTACAACAACAACCATGCTGTTTTTGTTAATACAAATATATACCATATATCATATGTCTAGAAGGAAAATACTCAATTAAAGATCTACTTCCCGGCCCATATGAGATAACGATACCGCAATCAAACTTATGTTTTGATTCAACTACGGTTTTCGTTAATATTCTTAGTGCTAACGAAGTTGCAACACCTTTCGTCCACCGAGGCTATGAAGTTTCTATAATTTCAAGCCATCGCGCAATTGTAAGTTCTGCAGTTGAAAAAATCTGTTGTTTCACAATTTCAAATTCTTTTTTTTTTTTTTTTGTATCGCAGATGAAATACGCTTATATCGGCGTAACAGGAGATGTCCAGCAACGTCAGCTACCAGCGGAAACCATAAAATTGCTCGCCGGTGTAAACACCTTCTGTGTGCCTTCATTTGGTACATACAAAATTAAACTAGAAAGCTGTCACATTTATGATGATAGCTTACCTAAAACTTTTAGCACAACAGATGGTAATCCGATTATAATTAATGCGATTGCACATAAAATCGGTGTGCGTGTACTCTCTTCCGACCCGTCCAATGATGCCTTACGTTTAATAGCGGACTCCAAGTCTTTGGGTAAGCAATTAATCACTCCAACTGCTGAAGTACATAAAGTAGATGGAAAATATGCCTTCCGATATGATACCCATTTGCAACCGGACGAAATTTTGCGAATTACACCTCAAAGTGATATTTTACTTTTCTCACCACAATCGAAAGAGTTAAAGGGTGGTAACGACTGTGTAGATATCGCGTTCAATTTTATTGCTACACGAGGATTGATTTTAAAAGGAAAAGTAGTGCCGGCAATAAAAGATGTTATGATTACACTAAGCTATCCTAAACATCCAGAATTGGGTACACAAATTATTTACACAAATACTTCTGGTGAATTTAAATTTGGTCCTATCGATGAGAATCTAGTGTATGAAATAAAAGCTGAGAAGGAGTCATATATCTTTTCTGAGTACAATCGACAGACGGCAGTTTTCAATGCTCATAAATTATGTGAAATAGTTGTAAAAGTCAAAGATGAAAAGGGAAAAATCTTGAAAGGTGTTTTGCTTTCACTAAGCGGCGCAGAAAGCTATCGTAAAAACATGATCACTAGCGAAGAACCTTTAAATTTCCATTCACTTTCACCATCACAATATTTTTTACGTCCAATGATGAAGGAATACAAGTTTGAGCCCAACTCCAAAATCATAGATATTAAAGATGGGGAAACTGTTGAGGTGGAGTTAATGTAAGTATCTCATTTGATACAGCTGCGGTCAAAATAATAGAAGTTGTGGATACTTTTTCGTATAAATGTTAACAAGAAATTTGAATAATTGATTCTTCGTTCTAACAAATACCTTTTATTAGGAAACTCTTGTAATAATCCCGTTACAAAACTGTATTATTGTAAACTGAATATAGAATATAACCACATAACCCAGTAGCCATGCAGAGGTGTGAACATCCACAACATAAATATATTAGGCTTTATGATGGTAATATATTTATTCGCAGATTAAAAAACTATACAGCAGACCTCATATACTGCATAAACACAACAAAAAGTTATGCAGCAAATTGATCCAAATTTTTTTTTGAGGATTCAAGTATATGTCAATGAATTATATCCAAAAGCAACCAGCTTGATATAGTTTCCAACAGTGAAAATAAAACTAAATAACACAAAGGTTACCTGTTTTTTAGATTTGTCCATATGAGCTACCCCTGGCGCTGAGTTCGAATGTAGAAAACGGTTTCAGAAACATTGGATAATCTCAATAAAAACAAGGCCATTTTTAATTCCATATGTTCGAAACTAACGGATCAATCAAATAACTTAAAAATATACCCCCTCTCCGGTGGGGTATACTACACTCGGGCCCGGTTTTTCTCTTAACGGCCCTGAGTGTGAACAATCCAATTTTATAACAGAAGTACAATTTCTTGACCGCAACTGTTAAGTTTATATTTCTTTCAAGCTTAAATTTTTACATTATTTTATTTTAGTGGAAAACGTGTTGCTTACTCCGTTTTTGGATCCGTAAACTCATTAAATGGCGAACCGTTTGGCCAAATAAACATCGAAGCTTTCACCGACGAAAGTTGCCAGCATCATCAAGAAGAAGCCACGAGCGAAAATAACGGCCAGTATCGCTTGCGAGGACTACAGCCTGGTTGCACGTATCTTATAAAGCCCAAAGATATTGGAATGCCCGGTTCAAATGTTGCAAGATCAATTCCGGACTCCCGAACCGTTCATATCGAACAAAGCGATGTGCGCGGTGTAAATCTTATCGCCATTAGTCCTATTTCGTTTGTCGATGTAGTAGCACGTGTTACCGCGACGCTGAATGATCACTACAAAACCTTACGTATAGTTATGTACCGTAAGGGCACTTCCGATTCACCACTCCACTCACAACGGGTTGAAACTCCTCTAAATCCAAAGTCTAACTACAATCCTGGGGTTATGGTTTTCTTCCCACGTATACCGCTGGATGGAAAAAGTTATGTAGTTGAACTGAAGTCGACACTTTCCGACAATACCTTTACTTACCTACTACCATCGGAGACGTTTGTGGCGGATACCAGCTCGGTTTTTGTTGAACTGGACTTTAAACCCGAAGTACGTGCAGCAGAAGCGGATCTGAACCAGAACTCTATTTCAGCTCTGATTTTAGTCGCTTTAGTATCGATCGCATTCTTCAAGCAAGACATTGCTATGGATTTCATTAATTTTGCCTGGAGTAAATTAAATGACATTGCACAGACGCAGAAACAGAATAGTAAAAAGGAACCACGCAATGCTGAACCAATCAATCAAAAGAAAATTGAAAAAATGGCCGAACAAATAAATGCAGTCACAAAGAAGAAATCCAAAAAAATATAGGCCTTAGTCAA